AGGGGTGGTTTCCCGCGGGTTTCGTATGAGGCAGGGGAGGGAACTGGAACAGGTGGATTTGAAGGCTACGTGACAACGATCCTTTGCTGGTTGGCCAGGTCATCTACATTTATAGGGCAAAGGCGAAATGGCAAGGGAGGGAAGGAAGGGGAGTGACGGGTCGAAGGGAGAAGGAAGTGTGTTGTTGGATTTTGCCGCGGATACCCGGGGTTGGAAAGCGGTTGAAACATTGCTTGCTTCCAGAACACTCTTGCAATGGAGATGGACAGAAGCTTAGATGACGTTTTGGACGCAGAATTTGGGAACAGGGTAAAGAAGGGGAATGAGGATACAAAGCAAGAGCTCGAGAGAAGAACTGGAGACGACAGTAAGAAAGAAGAGACAACAGAGCACTATAATGAAAAGCAAACTCGAGCCTATGAATAAAAGCAAAAAAAGCAAAGTCAAAAAAATCTAAACTTGTGGATAAAAGCAAAAAATAAAATGTAAAAGCAAAAAAACCGAACTATGCGGGTGAAAATGTCCTGTAAAAACTGTCGCCATTTAAAAAGCTGATGCTTATGTAAAACTGAGAACGAGTAAGTTCCACTATAATAAATGGACTAAGCAAAAAGAAGGATAAACTGTATGCACGGAACCAGAGTCAGGCTTTGCTTCGGCGAGATTTTAGAGGTAAATAAATAGCAACTCGCACCAGACTAGCCGGTGCGGTCATGCGTTTTGTGCAGTTCAGCCCATCGAACGATTGCCTATTAATGGTTTTTACTGCTTTGTACTTTAGTCTATGCAAAAATAGTCCAAACATTGGAAAATAGTTAAAAATTTCAAGCACCAGCGCATGAAATCTGAATTCGAAAACTTGAAGGACGAATATCTTTCCGTGGTTCCCGAGTTAGTAGTTTACCCGCCAAAATTTTAACGAGGCCGTAGGTGGTACCCGAGGGCGCGAGAACGCTGAATTTGAATGGTCAAGGTTGAGCGGGGGCAGAGGGCCATTCCTCCAAAATTTCAGCCTCCTAGACTCCGTGGTTCCCGAGATATTAACTTACCCGTGAAAAACTCACGGAGCCGTACGTGTTACCCGCGAGTAAGGGAAGGCTGATTTTGAATGGGCACGGTTGAACGTGGGCAGGGGGTCATTCCCCTAAACTTTCAGCCTCCTAGACTTCGTGGTTCCCGAGATATTAACTTACCCGTAAAAAGCTTTCACGGGGCCGTAAGCGTTACCCGCGGGTACGGGGAAGCTGATTTAAATTTGCGGGGTCACACTTGGGTGGGGAACGTTCCCCTAAATTTCCAGCTCCCTAGCTTTTGTGGCTCCCGAGTTGAAAGTTGCGGACAAGTTGCTGCGGACACACATACACAGACAACCCCGTGACAATATGCGT